TAGGCACAACACTATGCTGCAATCCGTAAGGCGACCAGAAAGTTACGTTGTTTTACAAGCCCTGCTGTCGTGATGAACACAATGTCAAGCCCAAGACGCCACGCTCCATGAAATGCGATAGAACATCAAACACCCACCGGCAGTGTCCAGGAACGGAAAAGAAATGCCGTTCGGATGGATAACTGCGATCCAGGCTGAACCCCTAACACCGATGAAGTAAACCCCTTCACAGACAACTGCAAGTCCATCACCGCTGTGGTCGGTACTGTTGAACTTCATGTTGTGGCCGTTCGTGATAGAAGAGGTTTTCTGACCAAGGCGGTAACTTCTTGTCTCGTTCATAGAGGTAGCCACAGTTGTTGCAGAGAGTGCGTGGGCCTTTGGGACCGTCGCGGACAGCCCAGACGGCAGTTCCCCAGACCCAGCAGTGTGCGCATCTCCATGTTTGTCGCTCCCTGTGGTTGTTGTTAGTTCCAATATCACAATGCACAATGCCAGTATTGTCACATACCCTTCTTGGAGCCCTCCACCCTGCCCGCCATAGCCGGATCCTCCTTCGGCGCTTGGCGTGCCTCTTCCAACCGGGCTCAAACTCCTGAATCGTCTCTTCTTTTTGCTGCGCTCGCCGCGGCCCATGTTCTCTTGTCCTTCGATGTTGTTGAAGAATTCGTTGGCGGGTTGGCCTGTCATGTTTGCGGTCGAGGAGAAGCGCGCTGTCTCTCTGCGTAGTCGTCGGATCTGCCTTTCACGGTCCCCCTCGCGCTTCTCAATTTCTTCAGGTGATAAGATTTCCACCTTCGGTTCCCATTCGTCGCAGAGATGCTCTTGGTCGTATCTCCAACCCGCACCGATAGTAGGCTCTACTGCGTCGTTGTCAATCTCGCCATCGCCTACTAATCCGCCATTCTCGCAGGCTTCCTTCTTAAGTCGCAGGACTGCTTCGTAGATGCTGTGTGTCATGGCGTTGACCCATTCTCCCGATAGCCCCAGATCCGCGCACGTCGTCTTAGCAAACATCTCCGCGAAACCTGGTGGATGTAATAGTGACCACTCGAACTTGTCGGTGTACAATCGGTTCATGAGGTTGATGTTGAGCGTGACGATGCAGCGGTAGGTATCGTCTGGATTGTGAAGCTCCTCAGACGGCATTGCGGTCGCAGTTGCGCTGATGCCATTGGGAATGCCCGCTGGCGTCTGTGCGCCGTTGGTATGCGATACGCCGTTGGTCATAGGGGTCGACGCGCCGTTCGTGGCGGGTACTTGTGGTGTTGAGGTGCCATCGCGGGACGACGCAGGCAGTGCGGTCTTGCCGTTTGTTCCTTGGACAGCGGGCGAGTTCGCGGAATGGAATAGAGGGTGTAGCGCAACACCAGCATATTCCTCCAACTGCTGCCGAATCTGATTTGCGATTTGGGAGATTATGAGGGGCTTTCGGTCGTTTGGCAGATCTAGTTCATCGACGAACTGCTTTGCGAATTGGTCGGGTGTCGTTAAGGCCTCGTGCAAGTTCCAAAGGAACGAGTCCTTGAGTCTGTATGCGGGAGTGACATCGGGTTGTTTGTACGCGGGCAGGTTCTCGTTGATGCCGAACTCTCGCGCGTTGGAGGGCGTTGGGAGGGGCGCCTCAGGCCGGAAAGCCTGAATGTCCATGTCTATTCGAATCGGAATCAACGTGACAGGCAAGACTGACTGCGTCTGGACTTGCTTCTCCGTGCTGCACTATGTTAGCCTTCTATTGCGAGATGTGTCCCATGGCTCAATCCTGCCACCATGCCACATACAGTGTACGCTTCGGCCTGCCCATCCAGTCTCGCCAGATTCCCTGTATATCGACTGGCGCAGTGAGCTCCTCGCCCAGCGCTGCTATTTGCGCCGTGTGGTCTGCGCTGTTCGGGTCGATTTTCTGTACGCTTCGCAGGCCTGTCGCACGTCGCGGCCGATCGCTATCCTCGAAATCGTCATCATCGTAGGCATCCTCCGCGTAGCTGAGAACGGCAGTTCCGCGTTTTGTCACGCGCGGCGCAGGGAGGGTATTCGAAGGCGGAACAATGGGCGATATCAGCGAGTTTCCGTGGCTTCGCAGTCGCGGCGCATAACTCGACATGAAGGCCTGGGGCGGCGCCGTCTTTCCCGTACTCGTAAACATGGCTGTTGACACGGTCGATGGTCGTGTAGGAGATGTGAGGAAGCTCAGCAGAGCTCGCGAACACTAAACGCGTCGCGATGTCGATGGGGCCTCCGAATGCGGCGAATGGGTCACGGGGTCCGTCAGAAGGCTGGTGAATTCGCGATTACCCCTGCACTGCCACCGATAGGGAAGTCTGTTCGAATTGCGACTGCTTTTGCGCGTCCCTGGCTGGTGACGGATGCTTTCGCGGTTGCGGTCCAGCTAACGTTGCCAAGACCCGCTAGTCCGCAAGCGTCCCAGGGTTCTCAGGGCTGGGGGCTCTTTCCAATGTCTGCCATTCACCTCACCTGCCCAGGTGCTCACTTCACGATGCATCACAATACCCTTGATGCACCAGAATACACCATCGATGTACCAATCACTGCGCGTTATGAACGTTATGTTGCAGCACAGCGCGCTGCAACCCATAAACACTCTCAATTCATCCGCATTCATCAGATCACCATTCCCACGTGCCCGAAGTCTTTCAGTCACACGAGCTCTCTACTCGCTGCTTAGGAGTGGAGTGTGGATAGCAAGAGTTGGAAAATCTGAAACGCATTATGCCTTCCTTCCGCCTGGGTAACTAGTGGCGCTTAACGGTCTCCACCAGGATATTTCTTGCCGCTGTGCATCCCAGCTATAATTCTACGGATCTAGGGTTTATCATGACTGGACACCCAATCAAATACATTTCATGAAACAAGAGAGGTAGGAGGTACATATCTTCGGTGGGCCTTCCGCGGGTTCTTGTACCTGTTCAGGCATCTGCAGTCTCCATCAAGAACTCACGGTCACAGCGCTGGCGCAACGATGGCGCGCGCTAATTCGCCGGGAGACGTTGAATACTCACCTTCACCTCCCAGCATCAAGTATATAATGTGCGAGCCTTGTCTCATTGTGAAGCTATTGTACATTACGTATTACTAAGGCTGTTGTGTTATGACTCTACAACGCCGCCACGGTCCTTACCATCGCGCCTACTAAAGACTTTCGTTATTCTTCCTACACAACTCATCGCAAATACGAGCACGACATTCATACCAACTACGCAACTCTACGAGACCTTCATTTTACCTCTTCCAAGAACTACTTGCGACAAGTCTTTGACAAGACATCTCTCGATTTCAGACATCCGAACCAACATTTCGACTTATACGGTACATCCCTCAGCTGGTCTAGGAAACACCATGTCTTTCAAGTCGACCCTTTACGCCGCGGCGGCCATGCTAGCCATGGCCCCGCTCTCTGCAAACGCACACATGATTCTCAAGAGTCCCGTGCCATACGGCAATCCCAACAATTCACCTCTCGACGCTTCCGGTTCCGACTTTCCGTGCAAGGCCGTACCATACACAGTCAATACCATGAACGAATGGAAGGTCGGTTCATCTCAGACTCTTGCATTCACTGGTACGGCTGTCCATGGTGGAGGCTCGTGCCAGATAAGCGTCACCACCGACAAGGAGCCTACAAAGGATTCCGTGTGGAAAGTCATCTACTCCATTGAGGGTGGCTGCCCTGTCTCTGCAGAAGCCAACCTGGACGAATTTGGTCCCAGCCTTGATAATACCTTCAAGTTTGATATCCCCCCAGAGCTTCCTAACGGCGTCATGACAACAGCTTGGACGTGGTTCAACAAGATCGGAAACCGCGAAATGTACATGAACTGTGCGCCGGTTACGATTTCTGGCGGTGCCGACGACACAACCGCATTCGATACCCTTCCCGACATGGCAGTCGCAAACATCCCAGTCCCGCAGTCTTGCGGTACGACAAAAGAGAGCAGTGATTTCACATTTCAGAACCCAGGAAAGTACGTGAAATCTGTCGGCAAAGGCCCTTTCGTGGACCTTTGCACTGGCGCAACTTCGCAACCCAGCACCGGCGGTGATGCTGGTGGTGGTGGCAACGGTAATGCCGATTCTGGTGCTCCAGTCGCCAGTCCTCCAGCCGCCAGTCCTCCAGCTGCTAGTCCTTCCCCGGACTCAGGAGCCTACCAACCTGCTGCTACGCCTCCATCTGCCGCGAGCCCAGCTCCAGTAAGCCCCCCTCCCGCTCCACCAGCGGCCCCCTCTGGCACCAAGTCCGCCTGCTCACCCAAACCCAAGCCTGCCGAGTCCACCCTCCGCACACTCGTCACCGTCACAGCGCCAATGCCAACAAACACCGATGGCATCTTCCCACCTGGCCCAGCAGCCGGCACAGGCACAGCCCCCGCAGCAGCTCCAGCGCCCCAACCAACCGGCCAGTCCCCAGCATCGCCCGTCGCGCCTCTGAAACCAACACCATCCGGTGCACCCGCCTCCCCCGCACCCGCGAACCCAGGTTCAGACAAAGAGGCCTGCTCCCCCGACGGCGCTGTCATTTGCTCATCCGACGGCACGAAATTCGGTCTCTGCGACCACGGCAAGGTCATCATGATCCCCGTGGCTGACGGCACAAAGTGTGAAAACGGAGCCATTGCTAAACGCGGTGATTACTCGCATCGTAATCAGCGCACTGCTATCTAGTTTGAGACACTGGGTATTTGTGAAGATGGTTCGTTCGTTTTGTATATACTTGTGTCAGCCGGTTCTGTCCTTTTAGTATGTTTTTTTTTCGGTTTCTCTACGGGGGATGGTTGGAAGCTTTGGCTTTGATTGTTTATTGACCTCGCTTGTTGGCTTCGCTGTCGTATAACAGAGGAGCGTGCTTTCGCTTTTTCGCTGTCGCGATTGAAGAGAGGTTTTGTGTGTAGATGTGTATATCATGTAATAGTACTATTACTATAAAACCAATACCCCTTCTTCTCCCACTGCGATCGTCATATAGAAGTTACTATAGCCAGCGTCTAGGGTCCACCAACAGCATAAGGAGTAAACTTATAGCAACCACCCACATCAGCATCCCCAGCAATCCTCCAATAAACACCACAATCATAACTCGTCGTTCCCCTCGCAGCCACACAAGACAACGGACACGTCCCATCAGCAGCATTGTAGGTAACCTGGCAAACCGTTTCCTGCAGCCCAACATCGTTTCGTCCAAACAGGACGTACGCTTCACTCGCGCCTACATTGGGATTGGTCTTGCCGATGGAGCCGGCGTAGGGCCCGTTCAGGACCTGCAGCTTGTTGTTGTCGACGGTGGTGAACTGGAGGACGGGGCTCAGGCCTCGAGAGTTGCCGACGGTGTTGGGGACGTTGCGGCTGGCGTCTGCGATGGGGTTTCCGCTGTTGTCGCCGCCGATGGCGTAGACGGTGAAGGTGGGGATCGCGATGACTTGTTGGGTGCCTGTGATGATGGTCGTGCGCTCTGTGACTGTGGAGGTCTCAGTCGCGGTATTTGTGATGGTGTTTGTGACGGTCGCGGTGTCGGTGTTGGTTGCGGTTGCGAGGATAGTCAGGGGTACCTGTTGGAGGAGGTGTTGGTTAGCAACGAGTTATGTGGGTTGGTAGAGTTGCTAGCGACTTACTGTGACTGAAGTTGTGATGGTGGTGGGAAGGCTCAAAGTTGTCGTGGTAGTCGTGCTAGAGGTAGGCACCGCAAGACATTTGCATGCCGAAGAAAGAGCTTGGCCTTCGATGTAGTTGTTAAAGCATGAAGGCTTCTTCGGGGGAACATAAGCGCCCCTCTTCTGTACAGCTCCTGGGGATGCGCATGCAGTAATTGAAGAGTATGCGACTGTGTTGATGGTTTCGGTCGTTGTCGTCGTCTCGGTGATCGTGGCAGACGTCGTTGCAGTGGCGGTATCAGTTGCTGTAATTGTGTTGGTTGCGTCGGTGGTCGTGATCGATCCCGAAGTGATCGTTGCAGTTGCCGTAATGGTCCTGTTTGTTGTGAGCGAAAGATCATGCCGGTGGAGATGGACGTAGTGTTAACGTACGCAGTGAAGGAAGTCACCGTAGAAGTCTTTGTGACTACAGGGATCTTGAGGTAAGAAGAACAGAAGCTCGTGGCTTGGGGTTGTTGCTTTGCAACAGTGACCAGACCACCAACAATGTCGCAGAACAACTGCGCCACGATCTTGCCAGCAGGCTCAGGAGCTGGATTCCGAGGGACGGATAGAGCGCCAGTGGGAATGGCGAGGCCCAGGGCAAGTCCGGCCACGTTGTTGAAGCGCATGGTGAAAGTGTACAAGTGTTGGAGGCTCAATCGATGGAGGAGATGCTGCAGGATGTGCTCTGGTGAAAACAACAAGACGCTGCCCGACAGCGTCTTATATACATCTTGTAAGGCAAGACTGTTCCCTCCTCGCCCTCTCGCGTCGCTCTAGAACTCAGTCCCTTCGGCACCTTGAGGTCGGTGGAAGCGACGCTATCGGTTTGTTGCAGTGTAAAAATGAGGAGCTGAACTCTAGCTGCACGATCTCGACAGCCACATTTCTCCTCCTCTTCCTCGTCGAGTTAGAACTTCAAGCCACAAAAGTTTGGTCGTGGCCAGAAACAGGAAGAACTGAGCTGTAGGACGACGGTGAAGAATTGTTCAGCCAGCCTCCGACGAGTCTCTAGCTCTGAAGAGCACCCTGCTCTCGCTGGATCTGGAAGCATGTCTGCAGAGCCTCTAGGCGATGTCGGATTCCAAGTCCCCGTGAGTAAGTAAGCCTGAGAATGCTCGACCTGGTAAGCCTAGAGGCATTGCTTGTGGCCTGGAAAGGCATAGTCTAATCCGATCCTGGGGAAGGACGCCTATCTAGAACGCTCTATGTGGCCATGATCAACGGAGAAGCCTGACAATCCTGGAATCTGACCTATGATGTTGCGACTGTATCTTGAACCTTTCGAGGCTGTTGGCACAAAATAGTACTAGCGGCATCGCTTCGCCTGGCGCGGTCTGAGTGTTTCCCTTCAATCTGGGGATAAAGCCACGCTAAGAAACGGACCGAAGCTTATTTTACCCTGTGGCAGCTCGCCCGCACTGTTTGTCTTTACTCTTCCCCGGAGAATTCCAGCGCCCACGTTGTGCTCTAGATCTCGGAGCTCCCGTCATGCCAGGGTCGAAGGGAAGCACATGATTTGAGGTCTGCAGTTGAAGGTCTCGAATCTGCTTCATCGTCAAGGGCGCCCCTGCCATGACCCTTGCCTGATCAACTGCCTGCCGTTCGGAAGCATGTAATCCGTGCTGTACTATCCGTGTTCAGCGTGGGAAGCGGAGTACACTCCTACGATGCCGAATACCTGGATTGGATCGTCCCATCTTCGCACGCCTTGCGGTGATCATAGGTAGATCTGGCGAAGTAATATCTGAATCGTAGACCAGAACCTTCGCACGCACCGCGTGGTGATCGAAGGAAGGTATGACGCGGATGATAGTTTTGAAGATCCGCAGTACCCAAGCGAGTGTAATCTTTCAACACCCAAGCGGACGACCGCCCGGTGTCGAGCTCTGGTTGCGCAATAAAGACAAGTCCGTGCCTTTGGCTCACCTCACAGCTTGGAAGTCTCATGGTCGTCAGCAGATTGTGCGTCGGTGAAGAGACAGACGAGCAGTCTTGAGCCATTTTGCAGAAGCCTAGTCGTGATACTGCGGCGCGGTAGAAGCTGTGATATTGAAAATGCTGCGAATTGACGTATGGCTTGCTCCGGAATCGAATGTTGTAGAATGTCTCCCATCCCGAAGAGTTGGGTGGTGACCAGCGTTTTGGTGAGATATGTCGCTTACTGCGGCGATCGCATCCTGTTCGGACGAAACCTTACGGGTCGCTTCTTCTGGCTTCCGCGCTCGAACCTGGAAATCTTTCTCGCGATCAACTTTGGTCGTGTATGTTAGGACTTGAACTTTCAGTGACGGTGATCTGCGGGGCTCTCTAGTAGTTGGCCTTTCGCCAACGTTGACATGCTCGACGCGGACCTTGTTGCGTTCATCTCAGACGAGAAATAAGGAAAGAAGGCGCCATTCACCTCATCTCCAGCTTCCTCGAGCCTGCGGTCCCCCACTACTCCTCAGTAGCATAATTCCCACACCCACCGCCATGGCACCAAGGAAAACCCACTGCGGAACAACGATATCCGTATCTCTCCGCTGGTACCTTCGTGCTTTCTCTGCATACATCTTCTTCCTCAGCGCGCGCTCTTCTTCATCCGCTTCAACATCCTTCGTCTTCTTTTCCTTCATCTGTTCCCCAACCAGGCCGTCGCCCTTCTTTCTTTGTACGTCCTTCAAATAATCATGAATAATGGGGTCGTCCTCTTCACTCAAATCCACAAACTCCCTCTCTTTCATCTCCACACCCTGGTCAAGTGGACTTGCTACATTGAGGCCACCTACGATCCCCTCTTTCGCCGTCAACTTCTTCTTATCGACGAGCACATCGTCTGGTAGCCACTCTTTCAGGGTGTCTTCGGGTAACGTCCGGAACATAAGACACATCCACATCTCCAGCACATTCATCACGAGTTCCGGGTGATCCATACCCGGTACTGCATTGCCATATCCACCCGAAGGAAGCACAGCTAGTACACCGAAAACGTTGTAGATACTCCACTCCAGCGCATAGTAATGTAGACTCGGATGATCTCTTCTGTACCTGAAATTTAAATGCTGCGCCACTCTCACCCGCAGATTACTACTCTGGCCCACGTAAATCCTCAATCTTTTGTCGACGCCTAAAATGCCGTTGAGGTAGATGGCCCGGCCTTCATGACGCAAATCCCCACCGAGATGCTTCAGGGCGTCTAGAGAAAGGCGGGAGGAGAGGATATGCCAGAGTTGAGGACGGATCAGGGAGTAGATTGATTGAGTGAGGGTGGGGATGCTGTGGTGAGAGATCCAAGGGGCGTATTTGTGGTAAGGGTGGGGTTTGTCGTTATCGTTAGAGGAGGCTGGGAGCCGAGAGAGGCGTGTGAGGAGGTGCGTGAGAATTGCTCGCGCTTCGAGTTGCACCGGAGTAAAGGTCGTCTGGCTGGCACGATTAGATGGTGTTGGTGTTGTTGGTGTGCTTGACATCGCAGCAGCTGGAGACATTTGACGACGTGATGGCGTCGTATGAATAGGAGAGGAAGCCGGTTGCTGGTAAACTTCCGCTGTCGCCATGATTTATATCTCTTCCCAAGGTTCGTAGAACGAGAGTTGTTGGTCGCGATTGGATGATGTCTGTGAGGAGTTAGGCAGCTGTCCTGTACAAGGCTAGCGTCAAGGCACCAATGTGCAGGTGCGACGAAGCTCGGAAGACAGATACAAGCTCAGTACGAGACAGCCGCAGCGGAAGTCGTCCCTTACGGAAGATGACGAACTATATCGGGATGCGCAATGTAGTTGTGAAGTGGAACAGCGTAGGTATGTAGGTCTAGATGTCAGCTCCACCTGGGCGATGAGGCTGAAGCTAGCGCCCTTTGCACATACCGTATCAGGCAACTTCTGGGAAAACCGTCGATAACGGCATCTCTTGAGCATAGCGCCTTAACCACTCGGCCATGACGAATCGCATGCATGATCCTGTGTTCCTGTCGTAATCATTCGCCGGCCCTGGAACGAATTTCATATGGGTTAATCTGAACAAGGCTTCTGCTCGGTCTTGCAGTCTTTCTGGTATGTTCATCTCATAAGTGTAATATGTGGGGTGCTGGCATGGTCCACAGTCTTCAGTAGCTACGTCGCATGTCACTTTACGTACTGAGCGAGGCCATTGGAAAAGACTTGTTGCAATTCACGTAAAGCTTTGGCAAGGCGACGATTCTTATAATCAATTGAAGGCTACGCTCATGTTACACCTATACATCACACTATGCCCTCGTGCCATGCTCTTACATCAATATAGTTCGTAAGTAAACTGGTAACACCCGTATTCAGTACACCACGGCCCGTCGTCTTCATATGGTGGCCACTGGTCGGTCCTGAATTTGAGGCCGAGACGTACGGGGTATTGCAAGAAAGTCCCAGGCTCTGCTTTGTCTTTTATAGAGATGTTCTACTCCTCGATCGTCTTGACGCATTCCCATCCGCCGCTGAGCCTCTCCTTCCATAGACTGACCCTGTTGTCGCCGGTGCTGACTGCGAGCGCATTGCCGCTGAGACTCCAGCTCACGCGCCACGCGGCAGCGTCGACGTCAAGCTGGGTGCGCTTCCACTCGCGCAGATCTGATGATGTCCAGATAATGACAGTCTTGTCCTGGGATGCGGAGGCGATGTACGATTTGGAGAGAACGGTAGGGGACCACGCGACGTCGCGTACCCAATCTGCATGACCACCACTAGTGAATGTTGTTAGCCAATGACCCATATCGTCGATTCGCGATCATGACTTACAGCGGAGTCGCATTCCAGCTGCCGCTCTCGGGGCTGAACTCCCAGATCTTGACCTGGCAGTCGGTTCCGCCGGTGACTAGCCTCTTCGCAGCGCCTGCCTGGTTTCCGCTTGCGCTGATGACCTGTCCTGGCGCATAGGCAGGTGCCCAAGAAACACTGTTTACGCCGTTACCGTGAGCAGGGAAGGTCTGATGTGTCCAGTTGTTGTCCTTGAATTCGAGCACCGAGACGTTGCCGTCGGATGATGCGCAGGCAAGGAGGCAGCCTGCCTCGTGAGGAGCCCATGCGACCATGTTGACCGACTGTGTGTGTAGGGCGACCTCGTATATCTTCTGCCAGCTGCCAGACTGCTCGCGCCAGATGAGGACCTTGCCGTCATACGAGGAGGAGGCGAGGATGTTTCCGTATTTGGGGTGTGCCCATGCTACGCTCCAAACGGCGCCCTCATGTCTGTGAACGTCAGCGTCGAGTGCCGCAGGAGCATGACTTCTTCGGGATTGACCTACCCTCTCAGGGTCTCAACCAGTGTATGTTTCTCGCCCTCAACCTCGAAGATCTTGATGGTCTTGTCCGAAGAACACGTCGCGAGCCGCCCGCCATAGTAATCCAGTACGGCGTCATGCTGTACCTCGTTAGAATCGGTCGGGGGTGGGTCGTTGTCGCCCATTGCGCTGGCTGGTGGTGTTGTACGAATGTGGGGTGAAGATAGAGGCGGATGTTTATAGAGAACGTACAATCATGTCATCGTGGCCGGAGTTCGCTATAACGTTGGCCTACAGCGGCAGTCGCAAGTTAGCGGACACGATCAGGTTGGGCGCGTTGGTGGGGAAGTGCTTGCCATTTTTGTTGTAGATCAGCTGCGATAGATGGTGGTGAATGAAATGGAGGTCGAGGCGGTATTTGAAGGCGGCGAGAGAATTGTGTAGGCAGAAGTATGAGCAGGCGCGTCCAGACGTGTCCACAGCTACACAGTGCCCCAAAGTTGGTTGATGCTGCTGTGGCCTCAGTGCAGGGGTCTTGATGAGATAAGATTAGATCGAATCCCAATGACGCGCTAGCACACGCAATACCACCTGGGTAATGGACCACCTCTACCTGAGCCTCACATGCAACCACTATTTCCACCACTTCCACTCATCACTCATCATGGCTTATTCTTCCCCACGTCACTCACAAAACTTCTACCAGTACGATGCATCAACCCCACCACCGCCCCCACCAAAGCCAGGACGGTCAAGTGGGAATGCAACTCCATCACAAGGACCTCCATTACCCCCACCCCCGCCAGGTCAATCATCGTATTCGGGAAATCAACAACAGAGTTCGTATTCACAACAGCAGTACTCGCAGACAGGTCCCGAGCAACTGACAGTCCAACCGCCTGACGATGGCTGGCTGCCTGATGTGCTCAAGGACAAACCGTATGCCAACCCTGCATCCTTGCTAAGCCAACTACTAAGGTACGAGTAGGACCAAAGACTTGCATCATGTGCTTCAGACGCCAGAATTGCAAAATGCTATAATTCACAATCCTGAGACAACACACCCATCATTACCTGCATCGATTGCGCCTCTGCAGGCGCTTCTCGCACAGAATGTAGGGTTGGCAGAGTCACTCAAACAGCTGGAAGCACATGTCCAGCACCAACGAGATAGCACACAGTCGCGTTTATTGTCACTTAAGGCTTTGGAGCGTCAGTGGAAGGCAAAGCAGGCTGAGCAAGATGAGGCACTGCGAGAGTTCAGTCCACCAGCACTCTATCAGAGGCTGAGTGCTTCAGTAGGCGAGCAAGAGGCGTTATGTCGAGGACTAGAAGAAAGCTTCCTCGAAGGCGAAGGTTTCGGTGGTGGGGATGCCGTGGCTAGCGACCGCGAAGTGACGGACTTTGTGAGGCGCTTGAGGGAGGGCCGAAAGATCGCCTACCTTCGAGGAGAGCGCAAGGAGCGATGGGATGAAGGCCGTGTCGGCGGCTGGCGATGAGCGCTCCACCTTGAAGTAATTATAAATACTAATATCAGACCACGCACGCAACGTCGCAGTATGTGTGGAGATGTCAAATTGCCATGGCATGATAGTCATGCGGCGTCGGCAGTCGGGAGCATGCCTGAGAGTCAAGGCATCAGCACATGCGATTCAGGCGGCGAGATATGCAGCCGGCTGTGAATCTAAGATTGCATCTCAGGGGCCTCGTCACCTCCATAAGAAGGATCCTCGCCGTTAGCATAGGCCGAAAGGCTGGACTGGTCGTCATGAGTCGTCGTCGTGAGCACTGTCGTCGTTCGCGGCAGGCGAATATCAGCCACATCCCAGTACAGCTGCCCCTTAGCGTGCTGGCTTCCTCATTTGGATACATCCGTGGTTGTCGGAAAATTGCGCGATGCCAAAATAAAGGTCGCATGCAATCCACTGCAAGCCACCCGTTGCGGGTGTCACATGGCAGGGTTGCAGTCGCTATGCACATGGTGACGGCTGGGATCGAGTCTTGGTGGTTCAGCGCCTCATGGAGTGTTTCACGTCGCAGGCAAAGGCGCCTCCGCACGTCACCTGGGCAGCCAGCGTCAACGTCAACTCGACCGGAGCGCGCGACTCTGAGATATCAACACCCACTTTGCAATTGAGCGTATCCCCGAATCACACTCCGCAACCCACTCCCCACGACGACAGACGAGGCGCCCTCTTGAGCCTCCCCTTAGTCTGCGGCGCCCATTGGCTGGGTAAAAAGTGTACCTGCAGCCATCCTAACCCTAAAAAGCCCCCTGGCGCGGCTCGCTCCACCTCGAGCAGCGCGAACCGCCCATCACGGTCAGGTAGAGCGCCCGAATCGACCAATTCGAGCGCTGCGATCGGCTCAAAGGCCCCTGGGCGCCCCCTTCGCCGGCAGCTGTACCTGGCGAGCTAGGCGGGTCCCCTTTACGAAGAAGCGACTTTTGGCAGACTCTCCACCTCCCTCTGCGCCCATCATTTGTGCACGCCATGTCTATCGCGGGGGGATAATACGAGAATATGCAAGCCGTCCAAGCGTCCCCCGAGGGCGCACATGCTCCCAACGCCTTTGCCTCGCCGCCTCGCCAAAAGGGCTCGTCCTTGGCCTCGATTGCCATCTCGTCCTTTGCTGCTTTTCGGTCCCAGTCCTCGCAACCTGTGCCTGTCGCCGTCCTCCAGTCCC